AGCCAAACTTTAATGAAACACAGAGACCCAGACGTAATAGTACTGTATAATATTATTTTCGAATCAATAATTTTTAAAACATTTTTTTTTTTTTTTTTATGTTTTTTTTTTTTTATAACCATTTTTCCTCCTGGTCTCTCGCGCCCCCCCTGTCATGCCTCTGCGCCCCCCTGGGGGGGCGCGCCCCCCACTTTGAGAACCACTGAGCTAAAGGGTTGTTGTAAGAGAAGCACAGAGACCAACAGGGATTCAATTTATGAATGTTGCCCAATTGAGATTCAAAGAAAATGTTTGTAATTGTAACATAAGAACATGTTGTTTGTTTTCATGTTTGAATCACCATGGAATTCACCTTCTCAGTGAAATACTGCAAGGCTAGAACAACCGAAGATCTTTACACACAAACCATCAGCTTATAGGCATCACTGGTTATCAACCCCTAATTTGAATTTGTTATACATTTGTTTTTATGACAACAAATATATTTAAATTCACAGTATGGAAGCCAACCGGTAATTCAATTTAGGTTGTGCTTCTTTCTTCTCTCACTTGAGTCTTTGGTCTCCAACCCCAGGTATGGTAGTATAATGTATACATGTTGCCTGCTCTGACTCCAGCATACTTTGACACACTCTTCACATAAATGAATTATTCCTTCATTTGTCTCTGCTTTAATCTCTTTTGTGCCAGAGGCTAGAGGAGAAGTTTGGAGAAGAGGAAAAGCAGAAGTTTGCGCATCCTCTGGTTATCAGACACCATGATGAGAGGGCACTGCGTTTGACGCATATCAATGCAAGTAGATTCTTTTAAAAATAAATGTAAATGGTTCGTATAACTGATTATTTTATTAGTTCACGTGGAAAAAGCAATTTTTGTTCAAAGCAGACTGGATAGTTTGAGTAATCTTGTTGCTATTCTGAATGTATTTGTATTAATGTGTTTATATGTGGCTCTTAGGTGGTTCAGGGTTTCGATCCAGCAGAGGTGGAGATATCAATGATGCGGCATTCTCCAGTGTGGCAGCTGATCCACTCTGTTGCTCAGCGGAGAAACAGCAACTCCTGGATGGCCATCAAACAGCAGCTACAACATTACTGCACAGATGGTCAGAAACAGTTTAAGGAATTATTATAATCTGTTTGTCAGTCTTTGTTTCTTCTGAAAAAAGATATTGATTGATCCGCTTCAAAGGGATATTAAAATGTTATAATATCCCACAGATGTTGTTTCATGGCTGGAGGTGGAGCGTTTGGTTAATCGGAGTGTGTTTGAGAGTATGCCACTGACCAGATTGGACAGTAAAGGTGTACTACTTAGGCCACCTGGACCACTGGGAACACTGAGACCAGCACAGGAACAGATGACTACATCAATCCCCTGGGACAACCCACTATCCTACTCTAAACAGCAGATTAATACCCTACGGACTAAAGGTAATTCAATTACTGTGATGATATGATTTTAGCTTACAACTGTATTCAAGACTCTGAAACACGCTATATCTAATTCAACATTTTAACTTTAGGTTTCACCTTTCTCACGGAAAATCCTGGTAACACAGAGGTATTTTTCTATATGTTCTGTGCTGTAAGTTTAAAATAAAATAAATACATTGGGAGCTAGGAGAGGGGGGTAATATTCATTGAAGAAATCATGTGAAGAATAGGAATTATGCCTACATTGATTGATCTAATCAAATTATACTATGCTCTATCACAATATAGTTATTTGGTGAGGTTATAGCTTTTGTGCAGTAAGAATTACAAAACAACACAGAATTCTCCGGGAACCATCACCTTATCTTAGTGGAGAGGTGTGTGTGCCCCTGGGGGCTGTGTTGTCAGAAACATACTGTTCCTGGTAGGGTCTCCCAAGGCAAATTGGTCTCATAATAACACCAATGTTGTGGGCTTCAGGGGAAGGATGGTTGGTGCATTCATTAACAACTAGAAGGAGATCTCCAGTCTCTCGGAGTTGTGCTTTGGGGGCCACAAACTGCACAAATTGCTATTGGAGAAGGTTAGTAGACATCCAGGTTTGCAGAGGAGGCAGACCCTCTACTATACTCTACTATCAGAGGATGATGGGCGATCAACATCAATCTCTCTGGAGGAGGTCACTGAGGTAGTTAAAGAGCATCTTGCAGGTTTTTATTTTTTCTACATTTATGCTTAAACTTGCTTGAAAATTACAATTAAAAAAGTGAATGCAGGATTTGATATGTTTTACGAGACATAAGGGCAGGAATTCAGAGGTAAAGGAGCAATTTTGAGCTCTGCTCTTAAAAACGGCTTTTTGTTAAGGTCATACGTCAAACGCGTCATATTACATCACACAGGGGACACATCTCCGCTCTCTGACCGCGGGTATAGTAGAGTTGCGTTGAGTAGAGCGGTTGTGTTTTAAGGAGCTGGTATTTTTCGGTAGTTTTACATTGTATTTCACCATTTGTAATCATGGTGCAGTATTGTGTTTGTGCAGGTTGCACAAATACCAGCCTGTCAGGACGTCGAGTCCACAGTAAAAAGGACCGGAGCTAGCGTTCGTTCCTGGGTGCGTTGTGCATCCACCTCCCTGCAGCACATACTCTCCACAGCTTTATCAGGAAACCGTATTACTTCTCTCTCCCACCCCTTCGCTGCTCTCTCTCTCTCTCCCCTCCGGTACACGGCACCGTAAGACGTAGTGTGGAGTTGCATTAGGTAACGCTCTGGTGGCTGTAC